GGCTAGTTCTATAGTTAGAACAGATGTACTTGTACCTTCAGTCTCTATCCACTGGGGAGTGGGTTTCAGTGGTGTTGTACTTTCTTCCGAGGTCAAAGGGGACAGCGTCGAAGTCTTCTCCGTTATGACCTCCTCGTACACTTTTTATTTAGTGTTCACACTTTGGTTCCGTGCTACCAAAAGAACCCTTCTCACCACAGCTGAAGGTCCATTGGAAAGTTTAATAAGCTCAGGTGTAGGATCAAGATAGATGCACCTATATTCTCCTTGGTCCTCTATTCTAATGGATCTAATGTAAAGAGAACAATCTCCCTCTATTACATTAGTCTTTGCATCATTGAGCAGTGTATATTTTCTGGGACGGACAGGGTCCAACAGATTAACCAGTTTCCCATAGTTATCAATCCACATGGGTCTAAAATGTGTCTCTACATTCCATTTGGTGCACTGACATGGAAGTAGAGCCCACTTGGTCACGGGCACCTCAACTATAGTTCTGGTACCGTTTTGGCCTGATCCTTTGGCGACTGGGCCGTGGTCTGCTTGGTACGACCGTTCTTCTCGTTTTCCTCTGAATGTTGTCGGTGCACTCTGGACTCTCAGTTGGACCCTGTTCTGGCGAGGGAAACTCTGATGTACCTGGTACATGTTGTAGGTCAATGGTGTCAAACCCTTCCTGTTCTTCGGTTGGGAAATCCTTCCTAACACTGTTGAGGTCAGGCACATGAGCATCAGAAATGTCTGGGCCATCATCAGGCTCAGTTTGAAGTTGGTTTTGCCCATCCTGGTTTTGTCCATTCTGTTGTGTCGCACCTTTCACGTCCTCTCTTAGTTCTTGAAGGATGTAGTCTTTCGGTGCTTTAACACAATGCGACAGATGATACCACGTAGGAGAACCTTTGACTTGAACCGCTGTCCCTGTGCTACGGACCACTTCAAATGGTCCTTCGCAGCGTTCGTTGACCATTTTCTCCTGAACACCTTTACAAAACTTTGTCTCCTGGCTGCAGAGCATCTCTTTTTTGTTCTGTGGTTTTGTCCAACACCTCTTCTTGTTTTTGCCTGTCAATGAAATATGTAGAAATGTTCCTATGTAGAGTCACTAAGTACTTAACATATGATCTCATTTCATCTTCCAACAAAGACAAACTTGGTCCCTTCCCACTTGTTCGCAGAACAGGTGTGGGCATTTGTCTGCCTGTGACCAGTTCATGAGGTGTCATACGCAAGTCACGAAGTCCACTGGAACGACATGCCATTAAAGCAAGTGGAAGTGCAGCCACCCAGTTCAGACCCGTGTGTTGACAGATTTTTACCAGGTGGTTTTTTAGCACCCCATTCATTTTTTCGCAAATGCCTTGGCTTTCTGGATGATAAACAGATACGAGGCGTTGTTTAATTCCTAACTTTTGTAGGATCAGTTTTACAGTTTTTTCTACAAACTCTCTCCCATTATCTGACGAAATCCTATCCGGAAGTCCCCATCTGGGTATAACTTCATGACACAGAAAGTTAGCAACAGATTGGGCATCCTTCCGTTTGGTTGGACAGGCCTCCGGCCATCGTGAAAACCTGTCCACAACCACCAATATGTACCTTTTTCCTCCTACAGGTTTAATCATGTCAACAAAGTCTATTACCAAGTCTTTCATTGGCCCTTTTGGAGTTGGGATGTGACCAGGAGGGATCATTCTTCCTCTCCTAACATTATTTTTCAGACAAATGGCACATCTGCCAATAATATAGTCAATTTGTTCAAGCAAATATGGTGCCCAAAAAACATACTCCTTTGTAATTTTTCTCTTGACTTCCCCCCTTGCAGCATGGGCTAGCCCATGTGCCTCCTGAATCAGTAAACCTAAAACGTCTGCATGTGCCACTACCAGGCCCTCGTGATTTCTCCAGAGACCAGTAGCATCCTGGCTAGCACCTCTGTCAATCCAAAGCTGTTTGTCAATGTCATGAACAGTTTCCTGCATTAGAGTCACATCCCTTAATGTAATCTTATCTTCCAGATCAACCTCGTGTGTGACCATCAAAACTCGACCCATGTGGGCCCCTGTGACAGTCTTAGTTGCCTCATCAGCTACTGTGTTGCCCCGCGTCACCCTGGATGCGTCCGACTTATGTGCTGCACATTTAGCAATGGCAATCTGTTTAGGTTTCATCATGGCCTGCAACAACTTCAATATCTGCTCGTGGTGCTGTATCGGAGAGCCATCGGTTTTCTTAAACCCTCTGTTCTTCCATACAGCCCCAAACAGATGACAGACATTGTGGGCATAAGCTGAATCAGTGTATATGGTGACCCGCTTGCCTTCTGCCAACAAACATGCTTCAGTCAGGCCCACGAGCTCAGCTAGTTGTGCTGATGCTGGCTGAGGTATTATTTCAGCTTTCTCTATCACAAACTGTGGTCCACTGGCTTTAACAACTGCATAGCCAGCCACTAATTTGTCTCTTACTCGATAACATGAAACATCGGTCCAAAGCTCCAGGTCAGCGTCTCTCAGTGGGAGAGCTTGCACGTCAGACCTGAGTTTAGAGTACCTCTCAGCTTCCTTCAAACAATCGTGTGGCTCTCCGTCCTCAGGAGACGGAAGAGTTTCAGCTGGATTTACAGTAGTACATCTCAACAAAGTAACATCCTCCTGTTCCAGGAGTCTGTGATAATCCCTTAGTCTCGGCATAGTCAAAGTATATTTCCCATGATTCAAAAGGTTTCTAAGACTATGATGGGTCAGGATTGTTATTGGATAACCCATAGAGAGAGCAGATGCCTTTTCATACATCAAATACACTCCCACCATTGCCCTATAGCACAGTGGCAATCCCAACTCCACTTCAGAAAAAGCAGTGGAGTTATAAGCAACAGGCTGTGGACTTACCCCTGTTCCAGTTGGTTGACAGAGAACAGCACATGCATACCTACCCCCAGTTGAGGTGGATACATATAAGACAAAGTTCTTGGAATAATCAGGCAAAGCCAACGCTGGCGCTTCCTGTAGTTTTTTCTTCAGTGTCTCGAAAGCTAAACAACCATTGGGTGTCCAGTTTAGGTTACAATGGAGCTGATCACTCCCTGTCTCTTTTATCATAGTTCTTAATGGCCCTGTCAGCTTGGCATAGTCTTCTACCCATGCTGAAGAGTATCCCGAAATCCCCAAAAAAGTCATAAGTTCTCGCACGGTTCTGGGTTTGGGGGCCTTCCGAATGGCCTCCAAATGTGCATCTGAAATGTTGCGCTGCCCTTTTGATACTGATTGTCCTAAATAGACAACTTTTTCTTGAACATATTGTAATTTTTTCTGAGAAACTTTATGACCTTTTTATGCCAGAACCTGCAACAACTTAATCGAATCTCTGTGACACGTTTGTTCATCCGGAGAACAAACAATGATGTCATCTACATAATGGATGACCGTGCTCTGTAGCAAGTGACCTATGTCATGTAGATCATCTTTTAGAACTTTGTTAAAAATGTGAGGGCTATGTTTGAACCCCATGGGAAGCCGTTGATATTGGTAAAACTGTCCCTGATATGTAAAACCAAACAAGCCTTGTGAGTCAGTGCTAAGGGGAACACTGAAAAAAGCTCCACACAAGTCCAACACTGTAAAATGTGTAGCCTCAGGAGGTATTTGTGCAAGCAATGTGTGTGGGTCTGGGACCTCCGCTGGAAAGTCGACCACCACCTCGTTCAGTGCCCTCAGGTCATGCACGAGACGAAAAGTATTGTCTGACTTTTTCACTGACAATATAGGAGTGTTGCTTTGTAGATTTTGTGCAATCTTCAAAACATTGGCTCGTAGCAGTCCTTCAATTTGTGGTGCAATTCCAATAACTACTTCCTCTTTCATTGGGTATTGGTGCCTCCATGGAATTGTAGCTCCTGGTTTGAGCTGGACGGTGACAGGTTGAGCAGACTTCACAAGACCGATGTCTGCGCTATGTTGTGACCACAAAGACACTGGAACCTGTTGTAGCATTTCCTCTCTCAGCCCGTCTGAACATGATTGGAGACTACAGATGGAGTCACATGTCATCCTTCCTGTCTGCGGTTGACCCAGTCCGTAAGAAGAGATCATGATCTTTAGATACCTATGATCTTTGCTCCTCCAAATCCTTAAGTTTCTTGAAGAGGCTCAAAAACAACATTCTTAGATTCAGCCATCATTTCCCCAACATGGTGTTGTTCACAGCCATTTGCTATCATCAGTGTAACATGTGGGGTGCTGTGTTCGATTTCATGCTGTTCATCGAGATATTCATTAGGGTCAATCTTCATAGCAGCCCCTTGTGGCCCCAGAATGATACTGCTTGAACTCAGCTGAACCTGTTTCGGCTGTTGACTCATCCACTCATCCAAGCCTGTTTGGTAAGCAGTCTTAAAATACTTGAGTGTACAGTGGGGTGGATATTCAGGCACAGTAGCTCCAGGCAGGTTAGCTGCAATAAGCTTTTCCCAGTCCTTAGCTGGTTGCATTAGGTCCGGAGTGAGATCTCCAATCCAATAGACGAAAGCGTCGTCTGTCTCTGTCTTCATAGTTAATTGTCCTTCAGTTTCACAGGGCACTTCGACATAGCAGCCATCTGGCGTACATTTTATGGTGCAATTAAATCTACACAAAACATCTCTCCCAAAAAGTCCTATTGGAGTATTTTGAGACACCAGTATGGGAATAGTAGTGTTTTGATCACCATAACTGATGGTTACTGGTTCTGTGAAAGGGATCAGCTGTTTCACACCCTCAAACCCGACTGTCCGCACAAACTGACCAGACCTGGGGAGATGTATAGCATCTTCAGACCGAACACAAGTAAAGGCCGCTCCACTGTCAATCAACATCTTTAATGGTTCACCATTCACCTTTACAACTGCTGTCGGATCTTGTTCTGGTCTTGATACTACCAGCTGACACCTCCCACTCGGGTTCTCCAGGCTGTCCTAGAAACCAGGTTCCGGGCTCCTGTTAGGGTTTACCGGTCCCTGGGTCGGTGCTGGGTGTCCCTGGAAACCTCATTCAGATCCTTGGCCAGTGTAGCCACTAAAGGGTTTGATGCATCCCCGAGCAAAATGGCCAAACTGCCCACATCTGAGACAGACCCCCGGGGGCAGCTGAAGAGCTCGATTATAATTTCCTCTCCTTCTTTGTCCCCAATTGCCATGGCCTCGTCCTCTCCAAGGTTGTGACTGGGCAGAAACCGGTGTCATTGGGGAGTTCCTTGAATTAAATGGTTGCGATTGTTGACCTCCGGTCTGGTCAGATGGCATTGGCGGTTGATGTTGTTGGGTTTGCATCACAACAGCTTGAGTCTTATCTTTCTTTTATTGTCCAACAATTGCACCTGGGCGAGTTTTCTGAGCGTCTCCTGGTCCTGTTGTTTTTGTGCTTGTTCCTTTTTACGATGTAAGTCAACCTAGTGTGCCACATGGTCAGTGTAAACACTTCTCATCATGCTGCCCAAACCAACCACCTCTGCCAATTTGGTCCTGACTGGTGGTGGGAGCCCTTCTTGGATCTTTGCCCGGAGAATGGACTGTTCCATAYGGTTGAAATCTGGGTCATTTCCGGTAATATTCCTCCAGGCTTGATGAGCTCTCGACACATAGGCTCTTGCATTCTCTTGTTCCCCCATCGGTGAGATGATTATATTATCTGGATGAACATTAGCTGGAAATGTTGCTCTCAAAGCCCTCCACAACTGTCCTCTGTATGCTGCAAATAATTCTGCATCATACACCGTTGTTCCCACCTATCTATGGAGTCCAGCCTTCTGTAACAGCTCCTCCATGGCCGGTACCCCAAGAAGGTTTGCCAGAAGACGTTTAATGTCTCCCATTGCGGGCTGAGTACCAGTAAATGCTTCTTCCAGCTTCGAGATCCATGGCTGTGCACCATCCTGGAGTACTGGCAGTTTTCTATTATGTCTGACATGTCCGTGTTCTGCCAAGGTTTATATTCRAGATTCTGTCCACGGATTAGGACAGGGGCCATCTTCTTAACRTCTCTCCTTCTGAGGTTGTATCTTCCAGGAAGGCTGCGTTGAACCATTTTTCGTTTTAATTCTTTTTCTTTATCTTCAGCTGCTGCAATTGTTCTGTCAGCAACCGCTGGTTGTCTTTGCTGGTAGCTTGTTTCAACACAGCACGGCAGTCATGCTTAATCGCCCTTAGCTCTTCTAGCAGTTGTTTGATGTCCTGCGGTTTAGGCGTTATGGAAATGCCAGCGTCAGAGCCTTGTTGACCGTCAGAGGACTCATAGCTGTCTTCAGTATCTGCCTCGCTGGAATCGCTGTCTAAGATAATCTGCTTTGGCTGTCTTTTGCCCTTTATCTCAGCTTTCTGCAGGATATGTTTAATACGCTGGGTGTAGCCTCCCAATGTGTCATCCGATTCACTATGAGTGTTGATTCTGTCAGAAGTGATTCTCTGGGAACCATCTGTTTTCTTTCTCCTCAGAGCTGCATCACTGGTTCTGCACTTCGTGGCCGAATACATTGTGATGGTGGTTTTGGCTTGTCCCGTCTCCAGCACCTGTCGTTCATCATCTTCAACATGATAACATCCTTCCTGATTGATCACTGGGAGTTGTGGGTAGAGGTTCTCACGTAGATACGGTGGAGGATAAGCAGGTGGAGCAGTGTGAGAGAAAGGTTCATCCACCTCTGTCTTCAGTTTTTCTGGAGATGGTGTGTTGGACTTGTTTCCTACTGACGGCGTCTGTGTAACTTGGAAATCATCGTTACCTTTATAAGCTTGTAGACGTTTCTGGGATTCATCAGAAAAAAGCTTCAAAATACCAAGTTCTACAGCACGTTTGTCTTTACGTTTAATTCCGCGCCTACCTTGTGTCTGTTCGGCTTTATAAGCAGTCACTAAAACTTGAATTGTTTCTATGACAGTTGGGTTAAACGTGCCAAATTTCGGCCAGGGTTGCTGAATACACGGCTATCGGTCATGTAACTTTTTGGATACCTTTTCGATTCCTGTAATTAAGGGATGTTTTTGTTTAATGACATCAACCGGAGTAAGTCAGGGTGAAACCTTTGACTCTGTTTTAGGCATGTTATTTTATTACCTATATGCAGTTCTCTGGCAACCACTGGAAACAAAGGGAAACAAAAGAGTGTACACTGTTGCAGAAACAAAACTAAAGAGAGACTTATTTGTCAAAAAAACAGACAACAGGGCAACTCAGCAGCCGTCAACTTATGAAAGATGCACCAGTCAACTGCTAAATCTCCACATTTACTCATGTGTGTATGAGTTTTACAGCTCTCATGAGAAGTGGGGGCAAAAACTAATGAAAGTCAACAGAATGTCCTCAATCAGATAGCTGTGCAAACTTGAGTGTGCGTGTGTGTGCGAGTATGTCTGTGTGTGTAAGGGTGTGTAAGTAAGGGTGAGTGTGTGTGTGTCAGCAGGTAAGAATGTACGGTGGCCGACAGGGGCTGCTGCGCAGCAAACAGGAAATGCTTTGCAAACGGAAAAAAAAAACACTGCAAAGTAAAAACGATGCATTCATAAAATTGACTGCATGTTATAAAAAATATGAAAGTTCAAAATAAACGCTGCAAAGTAAAAATGATGCATTCATAAAATCAACTGCATGTTATACAAATGATGCATTTATAAATCCGACTGCATGTTAGAAAAATGATGCAAGTTCAAAAACATGTAACGGAAATGCGCCTCGCCAGTAGGGGGAGTCGGCTACCAGCTCATAGGGGATCAGACAGAGCATGACGGCATGCCCAAAAAATAACTTTGGAGTGAAAAAATAAAAGGTATGTTTTCCTTTCCACGTTAAAATATTACTTTGTATTACCTAATAACATTGGTACTAATACATTATCAGCATATAACAGCATAGTTATCTAGATAATATTAGCGTGTTAGATTCTGATTTATAAGTTCGTATTTCTGATGTGTCAATCACTGCATCCTGAGGTCCGTGTAGCCTAGCTACATGACTGGTAGCGACAACTCTGAAATTAATTAGGCTACTATTCATTACGGAGGCCAAATTTGTGTAATATTTAAAAGCTTTTATTTCTTGTTGTTGTTGTTGTTGTTTTTGTTTGTTTGTTTCTTTGATGGTTGGTTGGTTGGTTGGTTGTTGTTGTTGTTGTTGTTGTTGTTGTTGTTGTTGTTGTTGTTGTTGTTGTTGTTGTTGTTTTAAATAGAAAACTCATGTATCCATTCTCTTTGACGGAGCCTGACTTTGCAGACTTAATCTTCTATTTCTTTTCATAGATGTACTGTCCATTCTGTGGAGCTACTGTCATAAGTTCTGCCGACTTTTGTTGTCTATGTGGCAGAAACATTCAGTTTGTTAAAGAACATGCAAATAAAACCCAAGAGGAGAGGGCCACCACCAGTGTACCTCCTGATGCACAGCCAAGCACTAGTGCAGGTAAACAGAAAATTGTGTTCCAATAAATGTAATGTTATAATGCCTTGCAGGAAAAATTATTGATTAGAATAATTATATTAGTGAATTTTTAACCTTTTTATCAGGAAGCTCAGGTGTACAGTCCTTTTTTAAATTTAGGGCTATAAAAGAGAGGGAGAGAAAACATTTTTTTACTAAGAGGCACCAGAACAGAAGAGAAGGAACAGAAACTATGCAAGGTATGCTTATACATGGTGACCAGTGCAGACTCATAACCTGCAAATGACATATTTTCAATTTTATTAATTTCACTATCTGATCTTCTGCCAGATTAATGTTGGGGTTATGAGAATGCAAGAAGACTCTCTTAAGCCTGTGNACCATGTATTGATTATCAGGAACTCAATAACATTACCATTATGAATAAATATCCACTCCCTCTCACTGACTCTGTTTTCGAACAACTTCAAGGGGCCACTATTTTCACCAAACTAGACCTACGAAATGCCTATCATCTGGTTTGTATTAGACAAGCAGATGAGTGGAAGACCGTTTTTAGGACACTGCTGGGCCATTTCGAGTACTTGATTATGCCATTCGGCCTTACCAATGCCCCTGCAGTTTTTCAGGCTTTAGATAATGACATCCTCCATGATCTTCTCAATCAGTTTGTTTTCGTTTATTTGGACGACATTCTGATCTATTCCAAGGACCTTCAGCAATACTCTCATCATGTGCAAACTGTTTTAGAAAGACTTTTAGAGAACCAACTGTTTGTAAAGACTGAAAAATGTGAATTTCATGTTTCATCAATCTCTTTTTTTGGTCTGATTTTTGAGAGTGGGCAAGTTCGCACAGATCCTGAGAAGGTGAAAGTCATCGCCGAGTGGCCCATCCCCGAAAATCAAAAACAACTCCAGCATTTTCTTGGTTTTGCGAACTTCTATCGAAGATTCATCAGGAACTTCAGTCGAGTGGTGGCACCTCTGACTAAACTTACCTCTACCCTTCGCACCTTCTCCTGGACACCAGAGGCTGAGAACGCATTCTGTAAGTTAAAAGAACTTTTTTCTACCGCCCCCATTTTGACCCACCCTCACCGTCAATTTACTGTTGAGGTGGATGCCTCGGATTTTAGGGCAGGAGCTATTCTCTCCCAAAGCTCCTCCAAAGATGATCGCATGCACCCATGTGCCTTTTTTTCACGTCGTTTTTCTCCCTCAGAAATGAACTATGATGTGGGCAACCGTGAACTCCTAGCTATTAAAATAGCTTTATGTCAGGTTTTTTCGAGGAAGTCAAAGATATGCGGATTTGGTAAAGAACAGACAACTGGGACAAAGTTACAAAAATAAATATTTCTTTTATTTACAGGATGAGTGATGGAGTGGGACGGGGAAGCTGAAAAAGAGTAAGAGTTCAGGTGAGTTCTTGTTGGCAGGTAGTGGGAAATGTTTCCAATTAATGTAAATGGATCTCTCTTACAGATCAGGATGGTGAAGTCAACTTGGCAGGGATCCGTCAGATGTGAGGTCCTTCCTTTGAGCATGCGCAGTAGGTGAGAAGGTAGTTTTGAGTTGTGGCAGACGATTTCCAAAAACGTTGGAGGCAGACAGACTGATGAGCAGGCACAAARGGTGAGCAGGCAGTTTCACTGGATCTCAGGTGGATTCACTGAACATAGAAAAAACAGGTTAGTGGTTTCAATAATCTCAAGAAGTTTTAGCAGCCAGGACAAATACCATGAGGTATGTGTTGCTCCGGCGAGGATCAGTTCTTCAGTGCTGCCTTTTAAAGCTCCGTGCCTCATCAGGTGAACTGGCTGCAGCTGRGCTTGTTAAGAGCTCAGCCAACCAAGAAAAAGTTCCAATTGCCACAGTACCCCCCTCTCAAGCGTCGCCACCAGGCGATAGGGGGCGCTTCTCAGGATGATCCCTGTAAAAAGAAGAGATTAAAGAGGGATCCAGGATGAAGGACCTCGGGATCCAGGACCTCTCTTCAGGGCCATATCCCTCCCAGTCCACGAGGAACTGTAGGCCTCGACCACGACGACGTACATCCAGGAGGCGTCGAACCGTGTAAACAGGTTGGTTGTCGATCAGTCGGGGGGGTGGTGGGTGGTTGGCAGGGGGGCAGAGGTTGCTTTCGACGACAGGTTTGATCTGTGAAACGTGGAAAGTGGGATGGATCCTAAGGGATCTGGGCAGGTGGAGTCTGACAGCTGAGGGATTGATGATTCTCTCCACGGGATAAGGGCCGATGAATCGTGGGGTCAGTTTCCTAGAGACTCTTTTGAGTGTGATGTCTTTAGTGGATAACCATACCTTCTGACCCACTTTGTAGTTTGGAGCTGGGATACGATGACGGTCAGCAAAACGTTTGTTCTCTTGTGCAGTTCTCTGAAGTGCTTCTTTGGTCTGGCGCCAAAGTCTGCGGCATCTGCGTAGATGAAATTGCACAGAAGGTACAGCTATTTCAGGTTCCTGACTAGGAAAAAGGGGGGGAGTGTAACCAAGGGATGCCTCAAAAGGAGTTAAACCGGTGGCAGAAGAAGTGTGGGTGTTGTGTGCATACTCAATCCAAGGGAGGTGTTTACTCCAAGAGGCTGGGTTGTTTTCTGTGACACATCTGAGGGCTGCTTCCAGTTCCTGGTTACTCCTTTCCGATTGGCCATTGGACTGTGGATGGTAACCAGATGACAGACTGCAGGAAGCTCCCAAGGCATTGCAAAAGGCTTTCCACACATGAGACACAAACTGAGGACCTCGATCAGAAACAATATCAATGGGGATGCCATGTATGCGYAAAACATTATGAACCAGAAGTTGAGCAGTCTCAAAAGCTGAAGGTAACTTTTCCAATGCAATGAAGTGTGCTGACTTGGAGAAACGGTCCACAATAGTGAGAACAACAGTTTTACCTTCGGATGGGGGCAGACCTGTAACGAAGTCGAGAGCGATGTGTGACCATGGACGACTGGGGACTGGAAGAGGTTGCAGGAGTCCGGTTGGAGGTTGATTACCCGATTTATTTCGGGCGCAGGTGGGACAGGCTGAAACATATTCTTTTACATCTGAGTAAAGAGTAGGCCACCAAAAATACTTCTTTACAAAGTTTAACATGCGGTTGACTCCGGGATGACAGGTTAACTGATTACAGTGAGACCACTCCAACACCTTTTTCACCGTAGACTGAGGTATGAACAGTTTGCCTGGAGGGCCAGTACCTGGGTCGGGTTCGTGTCTTTGGGCTTCTTGGATCTCAGCCTCAATGGGCCAGGTGAGTGCTCCAATAAAACAGGTTGAAGGGAGAATGTTGGTCTGGGGCTTGGAGTCGTCGGAACTTGAAAATTGTCTGGACAGAGCGTCGGGCTTGACGTTTCTGGAACCGGGTCTGTAAGTGATAGAGAAATTGAAACGAGCAAAGAACAAAGAC